GCGGCAAGCGCGCTCATAATTGAAGCGACGCGCTAATTTTTTCCAGGCGCAGTATGTTTGTACTTCGCGGTTGTCTATGACAACTATTGACAACAAACCCACCGTAAGCTGTCACGAGACTATCTATGGTAGCCCATAAGGGATAAAAAAAAAAGAAAACGCGGCACACGCAACAACGGGCCGCACTAACATTAAACTTTAATGTCAAGTAGGGGGCCACAAAATATCAAAATGGTCAAAATACCTCAAATGGCCCGCGGGCCGCGAGTTTGAGACCACTGTTTTATAGATATTGTCACTTCTTCAGTTTCTCCATCATTGCCTGACTCCGGTTTGAACATAAAAGGCTAAATGTTTTTGAAATTTTCAGTGCATGTCTGTGTGAGGTAAAAGGACACAAGCTGTTGAAGCTTTGCCCTCTATGCCAGCAGCTCATTTGCATTTAAAGGGAAAGACACAAAAACGGTGCGTTTTTTCTCACCCTCAAAAAGTGACAATTTTAACATGCTAATATAAAAATATCTGTGGGGTATTTTGAGCTAAAACTTCACATACACACTGGGGACATCAGAGATGGCATTGTACCACCCCTTTAACGTCCCCTCACTCTCGCAACGACATCTCTTCTCTGATGACGTGTGCATCGGCACGAGGGCAGGTCAATAATCCTGTTTACGTTCAAATTGGAAGGAAAAGAGGATCACGTTTTTCATTTCATGCCAACTTTAAGTTGTTAAACCAGTGAACTGTGTTTCAGTAATGATAAATAACATCAATAACAGAATGCTGTAATGATAAATATCAACAAAAATTCTAATGACGAATCAAGTAGGGCTGGACCCGAATATTCGTTCGGTGGGTTGGTATTCGATTTGAAAATGTGACATTCGAATATTCGTTTTTTTTTTTTTTTTTTTTTTGCACACCTGGCATCCCCCTTGAAACGGTTCTCATTCGCGCTTGAATGTATGTTTTACACTATAAAATCTGGTGAAATATAATACTTAACATATAACTTCGTTATAGCTGCTTAATAAATATATTTGCTTCTTCTTGGACTACTAAACGTGTTCCTGCAACGGGAGTTTTCTCTGGCTAAAGCGCAGAACAGCGGAGTTTGGATGGACAGAAGTGCATCCCTGAGCTTGTATTTTGGGTAAAGCTGCGTTGCTTTGACATTGTGGAAAATAGAATAATAGAAACACAATGTATTATCCTTTTTACTCGGTATTATCAATCTAAATCAATATACTGCGAAATATAGGAGACTTTGAGATTTTACTGGGACGTCACGTCACAATTTAGTTTTTCTTTATTTAAATTTCGTTTTTTCTATATTTAAATTTCGTTTTTATTTATTTAAATCTACCCTACTTTGTCAGTGAGAAAAATATTATAAGACTATACCTTATAAAAAATATTGCTTAAGTTAAAAGACGTGTGTGTGTGTGTTTTATATCACTAGTCCAGTGTCCATTCTCGGAGCATATAAGCCCTGCTCGCGTGAGGCACGCCGCTTCTTTATTTAAATCTACCCTACTTTGTCAGTAATTTGTTAGTGAGAAAAATATTAGACTACCGTAAGCAATATTTTTTATAAGTTAACAGACCTGTGTGTGTGTGTGTACGTGTGTGTGTGTGTGTGTGTTTTATATCACTAGTGCAGTGTCCGTTCTCGGAGCATATAAGTTCTGCTCGCGTGAGGTGCGCCGCTTCCCGCTCGTGCTGTTCTGTAGTTTATTAAAAGTTTATTCATTCTGAACGTGTCGCGTCTCGCCTGTCTATCTATATTGCACCAAATACGACACTGCACTCCCTTGTGAAGTCGTTTGGATGAACGGTTCTCGAAATAATCAAAATGCAAACGGACAGACAGACATAGAGATTCCGAAGCTTCGAATATTTAATGTTCATTACTACCGAAGCTTCAAAGCTCAAAAAATGGTATTCGGACCAGCCCTAGAATCAAGCACACAGCACTCAGGTCATTCTGTGGTAACTGGTCCAATCAAGCATTGAGATCAAATCAGCTTCTTTAGTGAGATGTATTTAGTGTTTCACAGACGGGCGGTTGTTGAGCTGAGTTTCTTAAATTCGCAGCCAAAATGTGCTCAGATTTTGGGGGCTTTGTTCTAGGAATGGTGTCTCAACCCATTACCCCTCTAGAGGAATCTGGCCAGAGGAGCTCATATTGCACCCAAGTGCTCCACAGATTAACTTTTGTTCTTCTCCTGCAATCCACTGCTGTGACACCAAAGACTCTGGAGTCTTTTGCTATGTTCAAAGTCTCTGCTTGACTGACTCTCCACGCTTGACAGTGATTGGTGTTGTGTCAGGAAGAGATGTGGGACTTCAGGGAGGATGAGAAGAAGTGAGGATGATAGGAGAGAGAGAGTTGGTCGTGGGGCACATCTCAATGTGCCTAAGTATTCTTATGCTAATCCTTTCCTGGGATGAGGCGCAAAGCAGCCAAGCAAACAATGGCAGCGGAGCCAGAAAGTCTGCCCTGCAGTCTAGCAGGCCTTGAAAGGCATGTCGGGCATAGCGCCGACACTGAGGGAAGGCAGCCTCCGGTACTGGGAGCCCTGCTGTAAGGAGGGGCCCCAGGAGGGACCAGAGATCCGGGCCAAAGCAGGCTGAGAGAGCGGGGGCGACGGGGAGACAAACACCAGACCTTTCTGGTCGTCATGCAGGCTGTAGTTAGAAGTGATAAGAAAGGCAGAGTGAGATTTATTTTGAAGATTGTCTGTATTTCATAATATTATCGTACTTAGGCTGATTGTTACCCCCTCCAAAAAACGCCTGTATGTTGTGGTGAACTGTTGTTTATGTTGTATTGTTGACCTGAGGAAGCCCTGAGTTCTACACAAGGAAAAACATAAAAATATTACTCCCTCCTCAAGAGATATCCATGGTCAGGCATAAGGTTTGACTGCAAAGGTGCACCTTCGTTACACATCACCATACAATACCCCTATTCATTCAGCCTCCATACTCCTTATGGCGCCACCAAAACCTTTCAGAGGGCAGAGCTCCAGGAGTGTCTGATGAAACACTCAAACATAGTGTGCTTTATATTGCTTTAAGATCCGTGATACTTTTGAAGCAATAATAGTGATATATGTACACAAGAAGACACATGACTGCATGGCTAAAACAGCCTAAACTTAATATCAAAGTCCCCACTGTTTATTAGTGAATGTGACCAGTCTAATATTAGAAGTATAATAAGCTGCTGTCAGTGTCAGGGGTGTCCTCTCCACTTCTTTCTTCTTCTTTTTTTTTGTACATCCAAGTTTTGCTTTCAAGTCAGGACATGACTGAACTTGTTAGCCATTCATAAGAAACATCTGAATGAAAGTTGATTTTACCTGTAGAATGTGAGTGATTTCATTGGCCTTTTAGGGTGTTCTCTACGTGTTGTGATTTGTAGATAAATGCAGTTGTAACAGAAGTGCTTTTTAAGTTAAAAAAAAAAAATGTGAGTACAATTACATGTAGTTATAATTAAGCTACAGTTAAACAGACTTTTACATTGTTTTTAAAAGTCATATTACTGTTTTAGCTGAATGAAATCGAACTATGTAACCATGTACATGTTACTGTTCAAGAGTTTGGGATCCTATTTATTACTTTTTTAAAATAAATTGTTACTTTTATTTAGCAAGGAAACATTAAAGTTATCAAAAGTGACAGTAAAGACTAAAGAATTATAAAATAAATGCTGGTCTTATGAACTATCTATTCATCAAAGAATCCTGAAAAAAAGTTTCATGATTTCTTCAAAAATATTAAGTAGCACAGCTATTTTTCAAAAATTTATTTAAATAGGATCATGTGACAATGAAGTATGGGGTTTTTCAAAAACAATAAAAATCGTACTGACCCCAAACATTTGAACAGTAGTGTAAACGTTGGCAGTTTAGTAAATAACACCTCTAAACATCCTCCTGTACTGTGTTGACTCCAACTATTTTGGAAACTGTTCTGTTGTGCTTATCTAAAATGCACCATACCTGTGTACATTTGCAAATTTAAAGTAGCTTTTTATGTTTTATCTATTTTTATTTATTTTCGTTTTTGAAGCTGGTAAGTTGTGGGGCATCTCATCCATGTCTTTTGCAGCAGGCCTTAACTTTCCCTGGTTGTGATCCTGCTTCTTGTGTACCTTTTAACCTAGCACCCACACTTAGTCGCAGCTTCTTGTCTCTTTCTGTAGGTGCCTGCACAGCTATCTTGTCCCTTGCCTTGCAGAGGCTAGCTTTGTTCCCTGTTATCCGGTCAGGGATGTGTGAAAGTGGGGCACAGGTCGGGGCTCTTTGTCCCCCTTGGGCAAATCAGAAGTGACAGACACCGGCCCACTCTGCCACTAATTTGTCCCCCCCTCAGCACAGACTTCACTGAAGGCCACTAATTGCAGTGAGACGCACAGGCCTACAAGGGAACAGACACATCACGTTATTAATCCTGCATGGGGCCAACGGGGTAATTGCGGAACATCCTTCATCAAATTATTTGGGCATGTTTCAGCATTCAAGAGTAGCGCCGGCCTGACGGGTTGAGGGGTCAAGCCCAGAAAAAACAAGGGGGCAATGATGTTCAGTGCCTCCAAGAAAAATTACAACATTGCCTAAGCGAAAGTGGAGTCTGCATTTTTCATAAGATTGGGGGTTTATTATTCTCTAGATATGTTCAAAGGTATTTGTGGTGGTGGGTCTAGGAAATAGGAAAGTCTAGGAAATTCTATTATCTTACACTTTATTACAAAAAGGTTATAAATATATTGATCATAAAAAAATTTGTTCACATGATTATATTATTCACATAATTACATTACAGACCAAAGGAATGCTAGTTTGAAAGTGAAACCTCACTGAGTGTACATAAACAAGTAATTTTTGGACGGTGTTTGTAGACATTGTATTAACTTATCTAGAAAGATGCATTGAGACTGGTATGATCTGCTCATATGTGCTTTGTCTTTTTTTTTGTCATTCTAGTGCCGTGGACCCCGTGAGAAGGGACCTTTGAGTTTCTAGTGCCATTGTCATCCTACCTCTTCCTCTTATCCACTGCATCTCTTCTGTCCCTTGAGCCATAACTTTGATTGCTCCACTTGTATGTTAGTGTTCACTTGGATTTTAGGAGCATAAGCAGCCGTCATCACTGATATCATCCTTACCCCAAAGGTTACGACAAGGCTGTTTGACAATGGCTCAGCTTTTATCCGTCACTGTGGTTTTGGTTGAAGTCTACCTTCTTCTCAGACTCTGCACTGGAGGTAAGGGTGTTTTCCTTCCCTTCATATTACATTCACAGTAGCGTTAGCTTATATTCATAGTCATGCCTAGTCTTAAATGTATAATAGGTATTCAGATGTGCTGCTTGAAGTTTGTCTAGCTATTTGCGCCTTCTCTACGCAAACTCCATTGTTTGAGTTGTTCAGCTTGTTATATGTAAACACTCCACATGAACGCGAGCACTAGAGCTACTTTGAGAGCTCAACTCACAAGCATTTTAATATTTAATTCTGAATGGGGAGCTTATCAAATACTCATCATATTCACACAGTAACTCAAAGGTCTTCACTCAGTTCTTCACCATACTGCAGTGGTTCCTAAACGGGTATGTGAGGTGACAGATGGGGTACGTGGAAAAAAATGCTGAATTTTGCCATTCATTTAATTCTGCCTCACCTTAAAATAACATGTATTTCTAAAGGCAAAATGCCGCATCTAGTGTAAAAATCGAGGAAATGGTAGTGCCGTAAAAGGTCAAATACGTGACATCCAATCAAATTACCTACGTCTGGATTTACACAAGCAGCGTGCATATGATAGGTTCCGTGCAGAGTATGCTGCTCTGAGCAACATCAAACCGTGTGTAAATACATCTAGATACGGCTTGTGCCACTGTAGTGCAAAGATGGCTTTTGTTGCTACTAGGGATGGGCATTTCAAGCAAAAATAATATGCGAAGAACGCTGGGAATTATTCGATTATTATTCGAAAATCGCATTCCTCCCCCACATGCATTCATGCACGCACGCACACATGCATGTATAGCCTAGGCTACACACCAGAGCATGTGAGCGGAATATCCCACTCTATGCCAGCGCGCTCCACTCAATCGTTCATGGCCCAAGCGATCGCTCCACTCATGAGCTCACGCTCACCGGTAAAACGGTGTTCACTCAAATCCCGCTGCGACATGAAATTTCTCTGTATCTGTATGTATTTAGTTTCATATTTATGTTTAAATAATATAATGTTATTTATTTATTTATTTATTTTATCCATGTTGATTATATGAAAAGTGAACAGCATGAGTAAGATAGAATCATAAGATGCACAATCAAGAGACATATGGAGTGGGTCAGACATGATTTTGGCCACTTCATTAAGTTTTGTAGAAAGCCTTTCTTTAAAGTGAATTTCGTTTTGCATAAATTGTATTTTAATTTTAATCAATGTTTCGTCAGCCAATTGCCTGTATTTAATAAATAAGAAGCAAATATAGCTGACAATATAATCAGGACAGGGAGGAGCTGGCGCGATTGCATTGCATGTGAACTGGAGCTCGTCTCATAAATGAACCGAAACTCTGCGTTTACGCTACTCGTCTCTCAGACATGAGAAATATATCTATAAAAAGCTTGAAATGTCTACTTTTAAACAAAACTTTTAAAACGAAAAGAAACAAGACTACTCTCGGCTCATGTAATTCGTAAGAAATGTGCATTTCTATAGGCGCGTTCACTACTGCGAAGATGGCGAGTCAGCATTGTCAACTTCATCTTTGCAGCAGACACTGACACAAAAAAACACTAGTTTATTAATAAATAATTAAAATGTCTCCTTGTAATGCTGGGCGGTGTACCGGTTCATACCGAATACCGGTGTTTATTTTTGTTATGATATGAATTTTTAGTATACCGCAATACCGGTGTATGACGCTTTAATAACGATCGGAACGCGGCGCGACACTGTTTGAGAGGGTCCCTTTTCACTCTTGCACTCTGTGGTGATGCATGTGTTAGTTAGCGTGTCTGTGAAGATGGATAGGTTAAACTATAATTGATAGCTGTCAAATTATATTACAGTGTTTCCCATACATGGTTCACAATATCAACACAGCCTTTTGGAAAATCTATTTGTGGTTGGCATTGACATCGTTGAAGAAACATGAGCACTGCACGTTTCAAGTCAAAACGCGGCACGGGTGTTTTTATATGAATGTATCTGAAGTGAACTAACGGTCTTTAGAAAAGTTTCTTTGTTATTACGATTGAATCTTGCGCTGCTTTGTGTACAGGCGTTACTGGGGAAACCGCTGTTTCTGCCGCTCCTACAGCGCCTCCTGCTGGCACCTAATGTAAACAGCCTTGCAAACCTGTATTAATACTAGTGTGGATCTTTTCTACAATATTCACTCGTGACAGTAAAATAGGGCATTCTAAGTCAATCTACTGCAGCATTTCCTCTCTCACTCAGTAGAAAATGTGGTTAACACCCCAGTCATGCTTAGGAAAAAAAAATACCGTCATATACCGTGAAAACGGTATAATTTTGAAAAATACCGTGATATGGATTTTTGGTCATACCGCACTATCTCCTTGCTATATTTGACACATTCATAATCATTACTTTTGCCGATTCTTTGTGGCAAGCATTATGCTTCCGCTTGAGCACTCTCCACTCTGGAGGAAATATTACCACTTCGCTCACATGCTCTGGTGTGAGGCAATTAGGGCTGTCAACTTTAGTCGTTTAGTCGACTAATCGGTCGATGCCGTCTTGGTCGACTGACATTCTCATTGGTCGACCAGTTGCATTTTTTTTTTTTTTACCAATAGAAAGAATTTTTCAATGATTTACTCCTTGATATTTATTCCTTTTATAAGCAGTTATATATTATTGTATTCTAAATATAATTAGCCTATGTTTTATCCCCAACTTTAAATGCTGTAATTTAGGCTATTTTTGTAACAGCGCCACAGTTTAGCGCAGCACGTAGAACACTTGGGAGCCGCACCTGTGGCTGGCTGCACTGCTGCTGCGGCGCGGACGCGCTTGGTAAAAACGAGCGCGTCGCTTCCATTATGAGCGCGCATACCGCGTGCCTAGATTTGAAATAACGAACTTGAGCGCGCAAAAGACGCAATGTGTGAGCAGGCCCTTTAACGGCTTTATTATGCTGACTCAATAGATTGTTTTTTCTTATGTTTTTGTTTTATTTGTACACTTGACGCGTTTGAAAATAGCCTAAATAATGTAACAAAACGAAAGTAAACCTATATGCCTTCCTACTATACAGCCTATTATTATTAGGATTGTTTTTTAGGCTATTTGGGTTTTTTGTGCGTTTGTTTTAAAACGGCTAGATCGGCTGGACAAAAGTTAACCCATAGCTTTGAAAGTAAAGAAGAATATACAGCCTGTATAAACGAGAGCTTTTGTTAGGATTTTTCATTATTTGGCAGTTTTAGCAGTTATATTTTTTGTAGCGTGTGGTGTGGTCAGGTGCGCGATTGTGACTGTCACTATAGACCTATAGGACAGAGCTGATCTTTGCAGTTAAAAAAATCACTTAATTTTCAAAGAATTGTATTATTATTATAGTTTTATGTATTATTGATGTTTTTTAGTTGTTGTTTTATAAATGCTCTATGACAATTGTTTAATAAATGTTCAATCAAAATGCAAAACATCACGTCTTTTTTTTTTCTTTTTTTTTGGTTGACTACTACACTGCCCTACAAAGCAAAAAGGCAGTAACTGCATATTTGGTCAAAAATGAGTTATTATCATTTTCATGACATTCAAGGCATCCTTTGTTATGTGACAAAACATCTTATCTCAAATGTGTGTCGTTTTAGAGAAAAATGGTAGTCGTTTGTACAGTAACTGCAAAAAGCCCTAGTGAAACAAAGCAAGAGTACAGTAACATCCATTACTGTATTCTTGTTATGTTTTACCTAACAAAAAATAACCGTGTTTCTGCGCAGTGTAGTTACTGTTGCCATGGTGAACACACAGCTGATTTTCGGGCATCCTCACGGGATGATTTTAACATTTGCGATTTCACCCTTCTAACTTCCCCTAATTGTTCCCCTACCAAACTATCCCCCTCCCATGAAAGAATGAAAAAAAATATTCCAGAAAGAAAAAAAAGGTGCAAGAGCTCCATGTAGTAACTTTAGCGGTTATATGATTTTCGCGATATAGCAGTTCAGTACACTTGAAATTAAATCGTGATAGACTACTGTGTGAATATTAAACCGCAATAATAGTACTATTAAATACAAATCCTACATGTTCTGTGAATAAATGGTGCAGTCGACGCGCAGTTTCATTTAACACACACACACACGAGCTGAAGCACGTGTGACGCTCAAGCTGTTTTTTGCCTAACGCTATAACTTATAAGAACACGACTGCATGAACTTACTCTCCAGACTCTAGATCAGCTCTTAAAGTCACTTTGTGAGCATTTAACCGCTTCATTTGAGAAAAGCTATCGTCATGTCATAAACACAGAAACTCAAAGGTCTTCACGGCAACCCGTCAAAATAAAAGTTCGGTTTAACTTGACAGAAATATATTAGGCCTACTGTTGTACAGTAGAATTTAGAAACGTCTCAATGAAATAATAATACTAACACTAATACAAATAAATTAAGATTAAAACTTAATTTTTATTAAATGTTTTCAATTTAACAGTAAAGCTCATTGTGCAGCATGTTGTTTGACCAAAAATGTTTGTTTAATTTCATATGATTAAAAGAAATGTAATTAATAATATATTAGAATTTTTATATATTTTATTTTTAATATTCATAGAATATTTTTTAAATATTGTATAAGTTTAATAATAGTTTATAATAAAAGTGTAATGATTTCAATTAATTAGACATGATTTTTGATTACTAAAAATTTACACCACGTATCCATCACACACCCGTTCCGCAACACTAGTTTCGCAACACAAAAATGTTTAAAAAAAAAAGTTGTCCAAATGGTTCCAATTATTTCAAATACAGTGTATCTAACACACCCAGAGCCCAAGTTGTGGCTAAATAGTTTTTGGAGAATCTGTAGTTACTGCCTTTTTCCTTGGTATGGTGCCACGTTTTTGGTAAGTAATACAAAGCAAGAATACAGTAACTGCAAAATAGGGATAAAATATCAAATTAAATATGAGGATTGATATGTACAAAGAATAAGCTCATATAAAGCAACAAAACAGCCACATGTCCAATAATCTACCTACAACTACTTA